CTATTTGCTCTCTTCTGGGCACCTTGACCTGCTGCTGGACACCAGAGATCATCAGTGTTATATAATAAGAATGGAGTAGGCAAATGTTTTCTTGCCTATTTTGCTGGCCTAAATATGGGAATGGAAGCAGAAGCTTGGCTGGAGGGATGAGAGTAGGCCACGCTTATTCCTCACTCCCAAAATGGGTAAAAAACTGCATCACTGTTCAGAAATTTCAGCAGCTTGGTTTCAGCCAAATTTGGGAATGGGGATGGATGGAAGGCATCTTGCCTCCCGAAGGCCTCCTAGCATTATTTTGGAGGGGAAAAATAATACCATTTAACTTCATCTATTTTCTCATCAATTTTAGCAGAACGTTATCTTGGCATGGCAGATGGGACGTCAGGTATGGCTTGTGGCCCAGGGATTGCCTCTGTTCCTTGCTAGGCAAACAAGCTTGATGAAGTTTATTTTATCCACTTTGAAAATATTCTATTAATACTTTTTACATAAAGAAGTGACTCTCAAAGAGAGCAAAGGAAACTCATGTGACTTCAATATAGATATCATGAAGTAAAAAGCTACAACAGCAGACAAACATTTCAGAAACAGTTAAGCAGCCTGCCCTTCTCTCCTGAAGTGATGCCTGAAACAAATTCAATGCCTCTTTTCCAGTTATGAAATCAATTCTGGACTAAAGTCGCAACCATGACAGCTACTATTCTAAATCCACGTCAAGGTTTAGCAGTGTGAGATGCTTTACAATGCAAGGTATCATCTGCATCCAAGTCAAGAATCTACCTCTGGTGTTGCAGGCAGAGAATGAGAGATTCAAGAGGAAGGAAAGACGGTTGCGGAGCAAGCACTGGGCAGGAGACAAGGCTTCCCACTAATCCACCACCTTCCTTCCTAGAACAGCAGCAGATCGCAGTTCTTCAGCTTTGCTTCTGCTAACCTCAAGCTAGTGAGAGCACAGAACAAAGGAAGATTACAACGGCCATTCCGGTAATGAAGCAAACGTTCACTTCTCTTTTCAGTGTCTCTGTCAGCATCAAGAATCTTGGCTCCCACAGAAGCACGCACTGCGAAATGTAAGCTGCCCCACTCTAAACCAGTTTTATTTCAGATATAAGAGGGCCAACGCACGTTAAAGGAAAGAACATAAGCATACACTAAAACACGTGACTCAAGAGAGTACTGAAAGAGTAAAAAAAGCTGGTCTTTAAAGGAAGCAGTAATGATCAAGGCCGACGCGTACTTGCTAGAGGAAACACTGCACCACAGCTTTTCTTACAAGCAGCCTGAATTTGTAAAGAAAGAGATGGGGTGGCGAGATCTCGCTGCCACTTTGCAGCTGGCGTTACTGTGGCTCCAATGCTTTCTGAGCCGAGTATTTAGTCATAGTCTTGACTCACATTGCTGCTCTGAAGCACCAGAGAAACTAAACACCTCTTAGGTCACCCAGAGCTATATCTGATCCTACACCCTCTTGCCAGATTCCTTTTTCCAGCAGAGGCTCTTTTATATACAGAGACCGAAAGGGTTCCTCTTGGTGTTTTCTGACTTTATATATTACTCTACTTTGCTCTTCTATTCAATATGTAATACTCAGGGCTCCACCCTTTATGAATCTGAAAAATGCTGAAATGAATTTTTAGCACAAGCATGATCGTGGGTCACTGATGTTATTTAGACCAGCGGTCTCCAACCTTAGCAACTTTAAGCCTGGAGGACTTCAACTCCCAGAATTCTGGGAGCTGAAGTCCTCCAGGCTTAAAGTTGCTAAGGTTGGAAATCCCTGATTTTGACAATCAAGCCTAAAATCAGCTAGAATAACTAACTGCCTATTACTTTCTTAGCTAGTGATAATGGCTCAATAGTCGTCCGGGCCATTAAATTCTTATTCCATGATTTAGACATCATGACAACTGACAGATTTTGTTTCTTGTAATTTTCACACCCTTATCACAATCTGCACCATCATTCTGTGTGTGTACTGTGGTTTATTTTGCCATCTCCACATAGTGGTGATTCACAAGGAACAGATTTGTATGGCAATCTTGTTGCACACAACATATGGTCAAAGCAAAGCCCAACTTCAGACACATTTTCCCACACAACAGAGCAACCAATAATCTGAGCCCAACAGGAGGAAAATGACAGCAGAACCAACAGCAATAGGAATTCATGCTGAATATGAAGCTTTCCTTACAGATGTGTAGTAGCACCTATGGTTTTCCTGGAAGAGATAGAAAGTGATCTTCCCCTTTCATCTTTTATGGTATACTTGTAATCAGGAATCAACTTAGATGCTATTGTCATTCCTTTATATTTTCTGCCTTATAACTGCTCCTAAGCTCTGGATAGCTTTGAGATGTCATTACAGCTGTCTTATTACAAAAAAATAAGGCAATATCTGCTATTATCATCCAAAAAAAATTCTCCTTGATTCCTGGCACCACTAATATTTGTATTGATTTTGCCAGGATACCTGCCCCCATTCAATACTGAATGCTACTGCCAATTTGTAGACGCTGAGGCCTTGTTATTTGACTGTTCCATCTTACAATAAGTCAATAATAAATCTCCATTCACAGACACAGATCCTTTAGTCCAATGGTTTTACTTTTGCAAATCAATCAATCAATCCACACCTCATTTCTCTTACATAATCTATGACCAAATATATCAATTTTTTTCCTTTAAAATTATTCTCCCAAAGCTGCATAAATTTGTCAGGAATTTGAATAAAATTATGTACTCTTTTTAATGAAGTTTGGTGCTCTATTTTTTGTAATTCATTATTCTTTCTCCCACCTGATAAACCTCTCTGACTGGGGTATGTCAGAGAAACCAAAACTGCAACACAGTATTACCTGCCCTAATTATTGCTTTATATTTCTTTTACAGTTCTTCCAAAATGCATTGAAAAACCAAAAACCAGACCACTGCAACACTTACAAGGGATACTGGGAAATACTTAAGAGCCTTGCTGGTGCAGCGGACTAAGTGCTGTTATATAGCTGCCAGCTGCCTGCAATTAGTGTGAGTTCAAATCTCACCAGGCTCAAGGTTGACTCAGCCTTTCATCCTTCCGAGGTAGGTAAATTGAGGACCCGGATTGTGGGGGCAATAAGCTGACTTTGTAGAAACACTGCTTATGGGGGACCAAAAGCCCTAATAGGCATGTATATACAAAAGAATGAAAGCTATTGCTATAAGTGCATTGTAAGCCACCCTGAGTCAACAGAGAAGGGCAGCATATAAATTGAACTAATAAATAAATAATAAATACATTTTAATTTCCACTGAGACATTAAGGTAATTGTTAGGACAACTGACATTTTTCTTATATAATAGGACTGCCATGAAAAGAAATAAGGGACTGCAAGGACAAAATGACATAAATGTGGTAAATAAAAATAATCATAATCTATATTTTGTAGTAGAAAACAGAGAGAAGAGTTTTCTCTACCAACTCTGCACCTGTTTAGGTCTTTTTTTTTTTTTTTTTAAATTTGATTTATATGCTGCCCTTCTCTGGAGACTCAGGGCGGCTTACAATGCATTGATTTTCCGCCATCTACAATGGTTGAAAAAGTATTTGTGGAACCTTACTCTCCTCCCCATGTTGAGAAGCAGGCACCCCTTCCTCAAACTCATGGCGAATGTATGTTATGAACAAGGAATTTCCTGGTTGGGAGCTCTTAAGTCAGAGCAAAGGAAAGCCACTGTTGTTGCCCAACAGGCTGAGGCTGTTAGTGTTGCTAAAAAGGAGGGGGGGGAAATCAAGAGGATGCTGAACTGAAGATGCAATTAAAGAAGTCATGGAGGAATTACAAGAAGAAACAATAACATTAATATTGCAACAAAGACAACTCTTTAATTCAAGTACTGCATGCCATCAGCTAGATGCACTGAAACCTGAAAACAAGTAAGATAATTGGAAAATGAGTAAAGAAATATCACATTGATTAGGATTAAATCGATACCCTGGCTTCACTGAAAATATCATTATACATACTGGTTAATTATGCAGAATAAGTAAACATTTGCTACCAAAGCCACTGAATAAGTAAATGCTTGCACTTGAATTGGATTATTACACATTTCATGCCACTGCAAACTACTCAAAACAATATAAAAGCATGGTGGCATGCTATTATGGGCTTCTTCAAGTATGAACAGAGCTCTTGGATGAGTAGATAAACATCATGGAATGCATCATTTTAAGCATCATATGAGTACCATTTTACACATATATTCAAGTAATGTGGAGTTGATGTTGTGTGTTAGTAATCACAAAGAATAATATCCCTGAAAAGAAAACATGACTTTATTATTGACTCTTTTTGTTCTTCCTAAATTCCACAGCAGATTTTTTCACATGTCAAATTCCCAGGCCGGAAAAGTGCATCACTATATTAAATAACAGTCACAAAATCAAGCCCCAAATTGCAACACTCAAAACAAAAACATTATTACTTCTAATAGCATCAGCTTAAGGACAAGGGTCCTAGACAATTCCTCTAACAATCCCTTCTCTTTCTGATTACAACATTCTTCTAAATGTGAAATAAAGTACACCTGAATTGGAGAAGCCTGATGTAATATTTTGGGCCAATTTCAATACAGCTCTATCTAAGCAAAGTTATTTAGAACTAAGCCCCTATGAGTTTAAAAGGAATCAGTCCAAATACAGAGTCATAGTGCATTCTGTACTTCTGAATGTATAACACCAACTCCCTTATAGTTTGAGTGAGTAGGTAGGTGGTTAATCTGATGCTCACTATTAAGCATCAGTTCACGATGTTCCAGACTTTAGTATCTAGTAAGAAATGAATCCATTCTAACTATGAGCTTGGAGGTAGCATATTCCAAAATCAAAGCCAAAAGAAACACTGATTCCAAGAAGATCAATGATGACATTTGTCGCACTGTATCTATTAAGGGTCTTGCAATCAATTCTTCAACATTATCCTGTATAGGAATTTGATTAAAACCAATGCTCGGATACTTACCTCTTGCTGACAGCTTCTTGGTATTAATGATCTTTGCAGCAAATTCTTGAGATGAGGTTTTTTTCACGCATCTCCGTACCACTGAGAAAGCACCCCTAGAAGAAATACGGAAAGTCTGATCCCATGAAACTGAATCAAGAACGAAGGATTAAATCTGTCAAGGTATTTAATTAAAGAACCCATATACTCAATTGGTTATGAAACTAAAAACTGAAAAATTATTAGAATAGAAGGAGTTTCCAAGAAATCAGATGGTCTGGAAAGCAGCCAGCGTGGGTTAAAGAAAAGTGACAAGTTTTGAGGTTTGTTAACTTAATTTACTCTTGGATTCCAGCCTGACCTCCCACTATCACTTTGGACACAGAAACCAGGATTGCAGCTGAAATGTAGTTTGTGGCTCAATGGATTATACAAACTAAAATAATGTAGTTATTTCACAGTTCAGTGTGTTCTGTGACTATTGCTAATTTGATAACCATGAACACAGCCCCACATGAGCTCACTGTAATCCATTACTCATTTTCTTGAGTATATGTTGGGATAGCTCAGCACCAAGCCTTCCAAAGCAGCAGAGTAAGTGGATGGGAAAATCTCAAACGGTCACTCATATTCCAGTTTTCCAGCACCCATTTGCAGAGGTGAAATACTGTTACTCTAATGGGAAGAGCCTCGATATGTATTTCATAATGGCCTTTTATAACACGGTCAATCCAAATTTAGCAAGGGAAGCCCCAGTCCTGAGACTGGTGCACAAGCCACCACAAAGCAGCCTCCTCAAAAGTAGTTATAGTGTGAACAAAATAGTTTGGAAGCCTCCATTTCTCTGAGAAGAGAAACCGGATCCCCATCTTGTCTGGTGCTGAGAAAGAAGGATAGCACCCTGAAATAGGGGCCAGCGAAAAAAGCAAGGAAAATGCCACCTACACCCCCTTCCCCTTGGGGGAGTCAGTTTGCAGTTTGGTGTGGATGGCAGAAGATATCCTCTGCCTCCAATTTGGGGGAGAGGGGGTGGAGAGAAAGAGAGAATCTCAGACTCTGTATGTTTACTGTATGGTAAAATGTATGGTTAGAGTATGTTAGAATTGCTATTGCAGACTAGAATTAAGTTTTAAAGTCAGCAGTGGACTTGCCTGTTGCAAGACAAAGGATCCCAAATGACTTCTGCTCTAGAGTTGGCTGTTTGCTTGGGAACCATGGGCACTGAAATAGATCTATCTAAAGCTGGGGTCTCCAACCTTGGCAACTTTCAGCCTGGCAGACTTCAACTCCCAGAATTCCCCAGCCAGCAAAGCAAAGCAAAGCAAAGCTGGCTGGGGAATTCTGGGAGTTGAAGTCCACCAGGCTGAAAGTTGCCAAGGTTGGAGACCCCTGCTCTAAGGGACCCTTTCTAGATCGGGACCCAGCTGCTCCGACCTTGCCAATTCCAGCCCTGATAGAGACGTTGCCCCCACCGCTTCCATAAGGACTCCCCCACCCCACCAAGGTCCAAGACCGAGCCGGAGGGACGCGTAGAGACTGGCGCACAAAGAAGATGCCACCCGGGGCATCCCTAAGGGCCTCCCTGCCCAGGCGCTGCTCCTTCACCTCCAGGGGGCATCTAGCGAGAACCGCCGAGGGAAAGGCAGAAGCGGTGCAGGGCGAGGACGGGGCGAGGGGAGGGGAGGCATACAGAGCGCCGACCTGGATGGGGGTAGGAGAGACGTAGCACAGGTCCTTGCCGTAATGCAGAAGGGAGCCCGGGGGGGGGGGGGGGGGGGGAGTCGGGAAGTTAGACAGCTGAGCCTGGCCTTCCCAGCGGGAGCGCCCAGATTGGCTCCCCGGCCACGAGGTCCCCAGAGCGGGCGCCGGTGCCGCAGCTCCCTGGCCCGGGTTCCGCGCAGCCCCTGTCGCCCCCGTCGGCCGCAGAAGTTGCAGCTGGCTCGAGCAACTACGGCGGAGCGGGCAACGCCGCCCCTGCGCAAGCCGGAGGCTGCCCGGGGAGAGTTGCGGAAAGACCGCAGTGCCCGGGGGCTGAGCGGGCGGCGCTGCCAAGCCTGGGGAGCGAGCGAGCGATCCATCCGGGAGGCCGAGGCCAGGGCGACCCGCGAGGGCTCCGGGGCCCCGGACGGCGCGGGCGGGCGACGTACTTGCCGAGCTCCTCGTAGAGCTGGTATTCGTCGGTGAAGCGGGTGCAGGTGGCCGGGGTGGCCATGTTCGGACTGCGGGAGGCGGCAAGGCTCGGCCGGCACGTCGGCTGGCTCAGCAGCAGCAGCGCCGCCGCCGCAGGAGGCACATCGGACTGGGCGAGGCTCCGGCGGCGCTGGCGAAGGCAGACCAGCGCGCTCCTCCTTCCCGCCTCCGGCCGCTGCGGCTCCGGCTCTTCCTCCTCCTGCTCCTCCTCTGCTGCTGCTGCCGCCGCCGCCGCCGGCGCGCCTCCCCGCCCGCTCCACTGCGCACAGTCCCGACCCCGAGACGGAAAGGAGGCGGCGTCTGAAGGCAGCCCGGGCCGGCCGCCAGCACCGCGAGATCTCCGCCGCCGCCGCCACCGCCACCGAAGCCGCCTCCCCGGGGGCCCGAGGAAGCGCCGCGTTTGGCGGGCGGAGCGGCGGAGGCTGGGCCTGCGGGCCGGGCCGGGCCAGGCAAGGCGGCTTTCCTGCCTGGGGAGGCGCCTCCCCGTCGGGCCGAGAGCGCCGCAGGAGCAGCGCCTGCCCGGCCCGGCAGAAGGCGAAGGGCAAGCGGGGCTCGACTCGGGAGGCTTTCCAGCAGGTGCGGCCAGGCCGGCAAAGGCGGCGCTGCCCCTCCGCTTTCCGGCCTGGCGGCGGGCGAGGGCGCTTAGCAGGCGGGCGCAATTGCAAGGCCAGGCCCGGCGGGGGCCGAGGGGCGCGGTGGCTGGGCTGCCTTCGGGCTTTTCCCTCGGTTGCGGCCGTCTGGCCGAAAGGCTGGAGGCAGCTTCTCTCTCTCCGCGGGGCTCGGGAGGCTGAAGGGCCAGGCAGCAGCTGCTGGGGAGGAGGATCAGAAGGAGGCAAAAGGAGCCGTTTCCTGGGCCATTAAAATCACATTGGCCAGGTTTGTACCGAACACCTGGCTGCAAACCACCCGGCCGGAGTTTAGCCTGGCCCGTTAGGCAAGGGAAGAGGAGGCGCTGCAAAATCCCTCCGTTAGCTTTCCTTGCCTTTAGCAGCAATAACGAAGCCCTTCGACGTCTTTGCCAGCGGCCTGCAGGCTGTGAATTTCCCTTTCCTCCTTGGGGAAAGAATTCCGAAGTGTTATTTTTCCGGCTAATTATGGTCTGTGTTGTGGGTTTCTTAAGGAGCTGGGAGAAAAAGATGCGTCTGAAAATGAAAGCCTTGTATGGATTGAGTTGTGAGGCAGGAAAGGGAAGTACATGGACTTGTGCACTGCCAGTCGCTGACAGGTGTGCCACTACTGGCACCTGCAATCTCTCAGGGGCCCAAAGATTATCTTCATTCTTCATAGGCCGGTGTTGTGGATTAACTAAATTCTTCTGGGTTCTGATTTTAAGGTGAGTATCCTGAACTACGGAAGCCTTTGATCTTCTTAAATACATAATAATATAATGAGTACTAAAGGCTCAAAGGTAAGGCAGGTTAGAAAGAACAAGGCGTTTTGGGGTCTTAATAAGATTTGCTCTTCCTAATATTAATAAAGATGGTTTTTCCAGAAAATATGTGAAGAGCTGTAATTAAGTGATTGTCAAGTATTTGCAAGCCATTGGCACATGTGTCATATAGACACCAGTGGAGGCAGAGAGTGTCTCCACCCCTATGCAGAAAGGAGGGGCTTACCCTGAGTATAAAACCCCCTCCAACCTTTTCCACCTCGCTCTCTCCATCTCTCTCTTTTCATGTTTGTTCCTCATGAGACTTGATCTCTGTTGTACATAGTTAATATGGTTTATCATATGAATAAATACATTTAAGACATTTATTTATGCATCTGCCTCTGAACTCTTCTATGCTCCTGGATGTTTCTACGATCCCAATTCCACAGTGATTTAACTATGTTTTCTTTTTGGCTGTGTTTTAGGTTATATCATGTATGTTTAATCTTGGGTGACTATAATTGGTTTTGTTATATTGCAGTTGTAATATATTGTAAATTATGCCAAGTTAGAGTTATCTTAGCCAGTTTATATATGTAACAGAAGGGAAGGCTGTAAGTATTTTAAATTAAAAAAAAATAAAACATTTCCTAAACTTCTTTTTGGCTTGGAGTGATTGATTCATCCTGTGAAATGCAGTTCTCATCCCTTTTAAGTTCCTTGACTTGCCTCTTTTTTTGTTTGTATTAGACATTAAAGAAAATATGTAAATAGACATAAAAATGAGACAGGAAAAAGAGATAAAAAAGCAACGTACAGATGAAATAAGGGATTTTAAAATATCATCCAGGTACACCATTAATTAGTTGTAAATCGCTGACTATATTCTAAAAGACTAAAATCATTATGCTTTAAGAATGAATAACAAGAACCATGTCAACACAACCTTTAACATTTCATTGAACTCAAATCTTTTTACATCATGATGTAGCTAGAAAGCATATTATGATTAAATAGTATGTGTTGGGCACAGTTGTAATTTCTCAATCTATGGGAAGTTAATCTTTAAAGGAGGAAAGCTCTGCAGATTAAAGAACTGCTCTTCACCAGCAAAAATGCCAAACCAGCAGGATTTATGAATAGAAAATGCATAGCAATGGACAAAAAAACCCGCTACATCTTTAGATATTTGTATTAAGGGGCAAAGACAATTGTCCAAAATGCAGTGTTATCTGCCACTAACATACTGGACTCTTTCCCACATGCCCTGGTTTCAAATACAGGCCTATTACAATTCTGCCCAGGGTAGCAAGCAATATATAAATGAAGATTAAGCAGACTCCAAGGAGCTTTGCTGATTTTCATAGAAGGAACCCGTTACCAGTTAATGCTGCAGAAATTCTTCTATTTTTGTAACACAAACCTGAAAGATAAAAAGAATAGAAAGAAAAAATAGTGAAGGAAAAAAGAAAATATATAGGGAAAAGAAAAAGAACGTAGCAAACAAAAAGTAAAGAAATACAGAGATAATCCTTTAAACAGTTCCAATGGAACTACCTATTTGGTGGCTATTTATGCCTCGGATTTGAAGCTCTTCCTGTTATGTGACTGCATTTTACAGTGGTTTTGCTGAAAACTGGTAGTTACTTCTCATGTTTGGCTCAACCGCCTCCATAGCAAACTTTTGGTTTGCTTAACTGCTGCTGCATTCGCCTAGCAACCACCACAAAAAAGGTCATAAAATCAGGTCAGTCATGTGACCAACCCTCTTTATGACCATCATGACTAACAATCGTAATGGGCAGTCTCTATTATAGTTATAATTCAAGGACTACCTATATAAAGAAGTGACTTCCCCCCTCATCACAATAAATAAAAACAATTTTAAAAACTTATCCCCTTCTCTTAGAATATAACTATGTTCCATATCTCATCTCTTATCTATGAACAGATCCTTAAAAACTTGTGGTTCAGTCCTGATCAGTAAAAGTCCATTAGAGATTATCATAAAATAAATAGTCTTTTTTTAATGTTGATCAAATCAACTTACTTTATATTCCTTCCTTTTACGTTTAACAATTTAATCTTGAATCCCTTCAAATAATTCTACAGCTTATTTTCATTTTTTTCTTTGTCCCTTTTCACAAAACAGGTTTCCAGTATAAGAAAGTTATCCAAATTGCTCTTTTGGTTTGCTACTTGTATATCCCTTTCAATTATTAAGACATCAGCCAATTTTATTTGTATATCCAGTATAACATCTTTTTCCATATCACTCTTATAGCTTGCCATTTTTAAATCCACTTTCAGATCAGATGCTACAGGGATTCCAAAAAGCATCAGAGCGACCAGCACTAAACACTTCATAGAGCTGCAGCTGTCTCTAGATTAGACTGGAGCCATGTTTTCCCCATTGCGTTTCCTGGCTTCTTATATAGCGCAGAAGGCGTGTCAAAATTCCACAAAGCATTTTCTCCAACCAACACAGGATCCCAGGGATGTTTTTACCACCAGGATTTTTTCATGGTAAATTTTTAGATTGAAAGGTTTTCTGCATTAATAAGAATTTTAGAAGCCCAAACTCATTTTGATACCTGTTATGCCTTGCCTCTGAATACAAAAGTTCAGACACCACTAATCAAATTCTGCTCTTTTAAGGATTCGTGGTAACATAGAGTTTCCATGAATCCTTAAAAGAGCAGAATTTTTCATGACTTCCACCTGAAGCAGTGCTAAACACTGCATCTTTCTACAAATTTGAATGAATCGTTACTATTTATGTGTAGTTGTTTACAGTTTCAAAATAAGAAAACTGGACACAGCAGCTACAGAAGTTTGGAAATCCTTTCGACTAGTATGTAACATCTCCTCCGGGAGAAAAAGCAACTTCCAAACTTTATTGTAGCCAATTAAAAGTCCTTCACTGTTTTCCTGAATTACCCAATTTCTTTTCAGCTTTAATACATCTGAAATGTATCTCCAAGTCAACTATAAAGTACTTACTAGAAAGAAAGGTAGCGATATTGTGATGCCCTTCTTAGTGCCCAGAATTTAATATTGCAAATATATATACAGGGAGATCTGGAATATGCCATGAAGGTTAACACTTCTGAACTGGAAGAGTTTTGCCGGTATGTGTGGGAAAAAATCCAAAAACAGGAAGAGAAAGTCTCTTAATCTCTACAGGGAAAATTTGGAAACTATAATTTCTCCCAATGGAAGTGTTGTAAATTACGGTACACACTAGAAAGGTGCTCTATCATTTTAAATCCAAACAACGGCACTATTTATGTGAAGCATGCATTCAAATTTGTAGACATTAGTACTTAATGTTGTATCATGTAGAAGTTTATCAAATGTTGCTCACTTAGTGATTCAATGAAATTACAGTTTGACCAAGGTTCCTAAACTTTTACATACCACTGTAGATTGTAGAAATTAACTATTCCTCCCTACTCTCTATTGGTCAGACAGAATATTTCACCACTTTAAAAAGGTTGTTAATAAAGTGGAAAATTTCCAGAGAAGAGCAACCAAAATGGGACATTGAATAAGAAAACACTTGTGGAACAGGTGAAAATATTGGACATAGTATCCTGGATAGAGAAAATTGTGGAGAGATGATAATTGCTTGCAACATCAGAAGAATTGTCATACACGAATAGGCAAAATTGTTCCAGAAGATAAAAACAATGGTTTTAAATTATAAGGAGGTTAATTTCAGGTGGACATTAGGAAATATTTCCCAACCAGTAGCAGCTATTCAATGATGGAACATGCTATCTTGGAAGGATTCCCGTTTATTAAGTTGTTGAACACAGGATGGATGGGCCTCTGTCAAGGATGCCGCTATGGTTTTCCGCACTGGGCAGAGAAATTGGGCTGAATGGTCTTCATAGTTTAT